CTCGAACGTGACGAGGAAGGATTCCTGTACAAAAACTCCAAATTGTACATACCTCCCACCTTGACTGTCCCAATCGTTAAACTTCTACATGACGGCCCCTTAGCAGGACATCCACTGTCTTACCCATGGCCCCACATGGGTAAGACAGTGAAGGAATACGTCTCAACTTGCCAGGTCTGCGCCACCAGTAAACACGGGAAACAACCTCCTTATGGGTTGTTAACATCTTTACCCATACCCAGTAAACCATGGGACTCGGTGTCATTAGACTTCATTGTGGATCTCCCACCTTCCTCAGGTTGTAACACCATCATGGTGGCGGTCGACCGACTAACCAAGATGGCTCATTTCATTCCCCTAACCAAAGTTCTCTCCGCAAAAGAAACAGCTGATGCTTTTCTAGGCAACATAGTTAGATTACATGGCATACCTTCCCAGATTATTTCCGACAGGGGAGTCCAATTTGTTTCCAGATTCTGGTGTGTACATCTTTCCGCATTGACCATAGGTTGTCTAGCGCATATCATCCACAGACAAATGGCCAGATGGAACGAGTGAACCAGTGCTTAGAGCAGTACATCAGGTGTTACTGTACACATCTCCAAGATGACTGGGTCGATCTAATTCCCCAAGCGGAATTCGCTTATAACAATTCTACCAGTTCTTCCACACTCCATTCCCCGTTCTACGCAAATTACGGGTTTCATCCAAATCCCTTACCAACCTACTTGGTTCCCTCTAATGTTCCTGCAGCCGATGCCTACCTGTCCAATCTCCAGAAAATGACAGAAGTGTTATGTGACAATATCAGCCGAGCTCATCTCAAACAGAAGTACCACTATGATCTCCGTAGGAGACCCGCTCCCTCCAATAGCGTGGGTGACATGGTATGGCTCTCCACCAAAAATCTGCGCCTAGGGACTCCCTCAAGGAAATTGAGTAAGCATTTCGTAGGTCCGTTCCCTATAGAGAAGGTCCTCAACTTTAACACAATGAGACTCACCTTGCCTGCTGAGTTGCGAAATCACCCTTCATTCCACGTCTCCCTACTCAAACTGTTCCGTCCGGATCCTTTCCCCGACCGCTCTCCTCCTCCGACACCCCCTGTTCAGGTGCTGGGGGAGGAGGAGTTTGAAGTGGAAGGGATTCTAGACTCCAGGAGATGATAGAACAGGTTGCAGTATCTTATTCGATGGAAGGGTTATGGTCCTAAGGAGGACTCCTGGGAAAACGCTCGACATGTACACGCTCCGACTCTGGTGAGGAGTTTCCCCCTTAGGTACCCGGACTGTGGAACGCAGCCACTAGACGGAAGCGGAATTCTCACAGGGTGGCACACCTCGGCCGAGTAGCGTCAGAGGCTCCTCGCTTCCTCCTTAAAGACGCCGGAAGGATCTCAGTACGGCGTTCCACTAATGTCGAGTGATTCCTCTTCACTGCCTTCTGAACCACATACCTGGAGAGACAGGACTACTGAGCCGCTGATGGTCACACAAACCGCAAGTACCCTAAGAGTTGCTCGTACTGGACTTTGTGTAATCGCCCACACCTGTCAACCTTAGGGGTGTATGACCTGCTCTGCCTGGGACTCATTGTACTGTACTATAACACTTTGAATAGCCGGTGAACACCCCTCATCCACAGTACTTAAAGGGGAAGTTCTGATGTCAAAGTTCACTTTTTGCCTTGTTTTCATGCTTCGTGCACCTGTGGTATGAAGTAATACCCTAGGGGCAAATCCTTAAGCAAGGATCTATGATTTGCAGTGTATGATGGTAGAACTCCTAACTCTCCGCTACAGATATTGAGAGTGACGACAGGAGTTCCACACTGAAAACTGTACCCTAATTCTCTGAGACATTTCATATTGTTAGCATCCGCAGCTGAGATTCACCCCCATATTGCCAGGGCATTAGACATGCTTGTCCAGTCCATCACCTTTACCCTCAGCTTCTTTAGCAAGCAGTGGTCGTCTTGGAAGTGTGTTTGGGGTCGTTATCATGTTGGAATACTGCCCTGCGGCCCAGTCTCCGAAGGGAGGGGATCATGCTCTGCTTCAGTACATGTTGGCATTCATAGTTCCCTCAATGAACTGTAGCTCCCCAGTACCGGCAGCACTCATGCAGCCCCAGACCATGACACTCCCACCACCATGCTTGACTGTAGGCAAGTCACACTTGTCTTTGTACTCCTCACCTGGTTGCCGCCACACATGCTTGACACCATCTGAACCAAATAAGTTTATCTTGGTCTCATTAGACCACAGACATGGTTCCAGTAATCCATGTCCTTAGTCTGCTTGTCTTCAGCAAACTGTTTGCGGGCTTTCTTGTGCATCATCTTTAGAAGAGGCTTCCTTCTGGGACGACAGCCATGCAGACCAATTTGATGCAGTGTGCGGCGTATGGTCTGAGCACTGACAGGCTGACTTTCATTTTGTAACTTTTTTTTTTTGCTTTACTGTATTGCTGTAACATATATGATAACATAGTGCAGGTAACAGGTTCTCTTTAAGGAGGCATCAGAAATTGATTAGCTTCTTCCCCAGCCATGTAGGCCAAGGAATGACAGAACTAAACTCATTAATTCTTCACAGGAAAGATCAGCAAATGAATGTTCACTGGTATCCCAACACTCTCTATCCTTACACCCGCCATGATGGTTCCTTGCACCCAGTAACATTACAGTACATGCAGAAGTCATCTCTTCCTCAAGAATGACAACAGTGCAATGTGAAAGTGTAAACAAACCCCTGGCAGTTATAGCAGCTAGCCACCTGTTTACATTTGGTACGACCACCAAAGTAATCCTTACGTTGGTGGCAGAGAACAAGATAAAGAAAATTTCATGAGAGGAATAAGTAGGATGCAGTCTGTGTCCTGTTTCCTATAACTTCCTGTCCTGGGAATGCAACAGGAAGTGAGAGGAAATCTCTGAAATGCGTGGGAAACTCCCCTCTTACACAGTTGTCACCAGAAGAGGTACCACCTTTGAAAGTATTATCCTCATCTCTTGTTTTGAGGATTCAAGGATTTTGGATTTTCTGTCATTTCTGTCTCAGGGCTAATGGTCAACAGGACAAATAGAGACGATAGAGTTGATTTGCTAAAGGCAAATAGGCTGTTCACTTTGCAAGGGAATTTTCACTTTGCAAGGGAATTTTCACTTTGCAGGGTATGTTTCCTCTTAGCTTAGTGAATGAGGTGAAACTTTTCTGATTTCCATCATCCAACCATTTGTTTTTTGTTTTTTTTGTTTTCTTTGCACATGATTGAGTACTCTTTGCAAAGTGAAATTTCACCTCATTCACCAAGCTATTGGAAAATTCCCATGCAATGTTAGCAGCCTATGTGCCTTTAGTAAATTATTATTATTATACAGGATTTATGTAGCGCCAACATTTTGCACAGCGCTTTACACTATAAGGTAGACATTACAATCACAATACAATTCAAGACAAGATGGTAAATCAATCTCAAAACAATCTTCTTAGTGGGGAAACAGCAATAATAAACCCGATGGTGGTTGTAATTCTTCACTATCCTATCTAAATCTGATGTAAGAAAGTTTTGCTGTACATAAACTTTAACACAAGATGAGCGTCTTTATTTAACCATGTGACTGTAATTTTTAAATCTTACTGGAGCAGAAAATAAGGATCTAAGTACTGGAGTTTAGGTTTTGTGACCTATCCTCCACTAGGTGGCAGCAGTGTATATCCTTTCTAAGTGAGGAGGAGCCCTGTGAGTTGATTTCATTTGTAAACTCTTTAAGTACTTGAAGCAGAACATTATGCAGATAACAATATGAATCACAGTAAGTATAACTATACAACAAACTTATTTTTTTGTTTTTTTTCAGCTATACAACAATAATAGTTTCTTCTTTTTAGTACTAACAAACATATTTATTGTCTATTTCTTTCTGTTCGTTTACATGGTGCAAAAGCAATTATGATTTTATTCTACTACATAAAATGTTATCAGCAGTATATACTGTTTATTAATAAATAATGTAGCCTTTGTGAGTGGAAACATTATTATAAAGCACCTCTATTATAGACTTACATGGACACAACTGATGTTGTAGTATCATGTCTTCGCTGTATATGTTTTACTATGTGGCTGTATGTGCTAATCTGTTTTAAATGATGTTTATTAAGCATTGTGTATGCAGGCATTGGAATGCAAAGCAATACAACAAATTTCAAAATCATTTGCTCCAGTTTAGGAGTACCAACTTCCTCACATCCATCTAAACTGCTCAGAAGTTACAGCAGTTTGTATTAAAGGCTATGTATATGATATTTCCAAGGCTCCCTATAGACAAAAGACAGCGATCTGAAGAAAGATTTTGGGTCAAAAGTTAATTTGTCTAGCAAAGTTGCAAAATTGTTTTTATGAGAGATATTTAGTAGATTAACATTTCCAAAAAAAACTAAACTATCCGTATACCTACAGTTTTTCAGCAGCTTTCCATCAGATCAACAGTCTTTATGTATGTCTATGTTTCCATCTTCCATGAACTAAACAATCGTACACAACTCACCTGGCTTTTCTTGTAAGCATCATTTCGATCGTAAGCATCATTTCAATATTTGCTGGTATATTTTATGAACAATGTTTCCAACAGATAAGATCATTATTGTTTATGGGAAGATACAATAGATCTTTTAGAAGTCTGGTGGGCACTGTCTTCTCTCTGTGTGTAGTCTAAAAAAACAATAATAATAGTAATGCAGTCTTGCAATATACTGTATGTTGCAATACAACAGATAACACATACTAATATAATGCAATGCTAATATATACTAAACTGATAATGCTGTTCTATACTTTTACTACATAGGCAATGTATTTGCAGTGGCTGGAGAACAGATGGCATCCTGCTTCAGAGAGGTGTATAAGAGTGGGATTAAAGGGAATTATAGGAAATGAGTATTTATAAATAACTTCCATCTCACGCTCAGAGGTTTCACAACCGCTACTGTAGTTACAAGAACAAGGAGACAACAGGTGGCACTTCACCCTCTGCCTATACATCTAATTAAAATGGATATATTTTCTGGACACATTCTGGTTACTAAAGATGGTGAGAAGGTGGATCCTGAGGAAGCTTTGCAGAATAAAATAGTTGGCTTGTTTTTCTCGGCGGCATGGTGTTCACCCTGCAGGGACTTCACCCCTGTGTTGTGTGACTTTTACACTGAGCTGGTGGAAGAGGCTGACCATCCTGCACCGTTTGAAATTGTATTCATCTCTTCAGATAGAAGTGCAGAAGACATGGTGAATTACATGCACGACATGCATGGAGAATGGCTGGCGTTACCCTGGCACGATCCATACAGACAGTAAGTTGCCTTGTGACTGCCCCAGGCTAGGACATTTATTTATCTGGATTTTTAATTCTGTTGATTTATATGATCAAATAATTCATTATTTACATAGATGGCACCCAAACCGCTACTGGCATAAGAGTATTGGCTTCAATTTCTATGGTATGTCACTATGGATTCTCTTTACTCATGTGGCTGCCGAGTTGAAAGGATGCAGCACATTTTAGTATTTAAATAAGCATGTGTAAAATATAGATAAAAGAAATCCAGGGGTAAAGTACAGTAAACTCCCAGTCATCTGGCACCCATCCGGTTGCTTGAGAGTTACTATTAACTCTCAAGCAAGAACCCCCCCCCCCTTTATCTGCTGGCTAGATTCTGCTATTGGCTATTTCAAATTGCCATAGCCAATAGCAGGCTGGCTATTGCACACGGCCACTGCCCGTTGTTTACATTCACCTGCCAGCTGAGGAATCTAGCCGTCGGCTGCAGCAAGATGTAAACAGAGAATTTAGTTAGCAACTAAATAAATTTAGTTGCTAACATTGCTAACAACATTTTTAGTGTGCACATTTCTATCAAACAACTGGCAAAAAAAATGAAGGACATATAATGTCTTCGATTTTTTTTTCTGGTTACTTGAATGCCGGATAATGGGGAGTTTACTGTATTATCAATGTTGGAGGGCCTAGAATATGCAAATGAGTCAGAGGAAGCCTTGAAACCCAGAAAATTAAACTGAGCATGTGATTAAGAAATGCATAAGCAGTGATTACCTTCTGTAAGGACTGCATGTCAGTTTGATAAGTGAATCCAGAGATCTAGCTAAATTTGGATGCAAATCTCAACTATGCCTGTAAAAGTCGAGCTTAGCCATGCCCATCCCAAGACTCCCTATCGGTCTGGATTGATTAAGTTAAAGGACCAATAGGAAGGTGTGGGTTGAGTTGGGGCCAAACTTTTTTTCAGATTGAATTGAACAGGTTTGTGACAGATTTACTTTAAAATGACCCAGACGTGAAAGGTTTTCTTCAAACTCTTATAATAAAATAAGCAAAGTAAGTGTCAGTCTTCTGGTCTCATCGAGTTCTCACTGGTTCCTTCCACTGACTTGCAGTGATATGAGGTCAGAGGGAGGAACCACATAGTTTGACACTCTGGAAAGTGACCAGTTCTAGTGATCACATGATCACAGCAGTATTTACTGTTTTTTTTGGAGGTAAAAGGGGTTTGTCCAACATGTTTTATGACATGTTTGGTTTTAGCAAGATTTAAAGTTTGCACTTAAAGTATATTTTGCTTTCAAATGCCTGTTGTGTCCTGCCTGCCACACATCTCAATTCCCTTCTTCAGTGGGAATTCTGATCTGAAGTAAAATGTGTTAAAGGGGAAATAAACTGCTGTGTAAACGTTTGTTTTTTACCCTAATGTGGGGAGGTGTTGGCACTCAAAGATGATTGACGCTGCATCAGGCCATTTTCATGCTCAAGCAGTGCCCCAGAGCCAGTTTCTCCTCTGCACGCTGCTCATTGGGATGCACCTGATCACTGGGCACATGTCATGTTAGTGCAGTGTGTGTCAAAGAGGTTGGTAATGGGGTGGAAGGCCGCAATCCTCACGCTGTAAGCCCAGCCAACACTGGAAAAAGCTGGACAGTTGGTAAGTATGTAAATTACTCCACAGCACCTGTAGTTACAAAGGTTAATGAGGTATTGTTTTAAAGTCATTTTACTGCTTGTCAAGAAAATGTCAATATGTTATGGCACATTGACACTAATGATAAAATGTGTGTTTTACTGAGCATTACTGCAATGTACATACTGCAGTGTGTTGCAGTGCCATTCAATTTGAATGGAACCCCAACACAACAAAAAAAGTAGCGGGCTACCCCTGCACTGGAAGGGTTAAACATTTTTGTCTAGGGGCTGGAGTAAAGCAGATATACTTACCTGATTCCTGTTGCCCCGGTGGTCAGTGCTCTCCTCTTTCCTCACTCTGCTCTGGCTGGTGGACTGTCAGGTCTGTGGAACCTGCTTTAGACATGATGTCATTGGTCCTTAGACTGCCAGAATAATGGGGAGAAGAGGCTGCGGAGACCGGTTTGGCAGCCTAGTGGGAGCCAGCAGGAGCGACAATGAAGTAAATCTGCTTTTCTCCAACAACTAGACAAAAATGAGCACTTAGCCCTTGCTGTGCAGTGCAGCTCCAGCGACATCATTCGCCTCTACCCCCTAGCAGCTAAAGCCGGGAGATTCAAGATACATGGCGTACAAGCAATTTGCCTGTCGCCAGGTATCTTTACTCCCTCTGCTCTCAATCCTGGATCCTGTGCAGCCGTTACTGACAACCCTCTCCATCCTGAGTTTGCAACCTTGTTAAACACTGCTCTCCATCCTGGACTGTGGATAGCCATAATTAACCCATTTGCCACTGAGCAATTCATGGGGGCAGCTCCACTGAAGTTTTAAACCATGCTGCACATGGTTTAAAGGATCTCCTGTTACTTGAACTGTTACCTTTAGGAGGACTCTACTGAAGGGCTACACCTGGTTACTCCTGAATTTGCAGCACTCTGTCATAGCAGGACTACAGATGCTACTAATTGCAAGTGACCTTGTTATCTCCTTTACTTGTTGATGTTCACTGCGCTTGTTTCCATGGTCTAAGTATCAGTCAATTACTTATTAGCGAGAAGTATCACATACGGGTCTATTTACTAAGCTGCCGAGGGCAGCCGAGTGAACAACCGACCCCAAGTGAAGTGAGCCGAACACTGTTCGGCTATTCACTTCAGGCTTGTACGGCTAATTTCAGCCGTATATCGGCTGAAATGAGCCGTACATTGGCTTGCTTCGCATGGCTTCGCATGGCTTCCGAAGTGCAGAAGGAGTTTGACTCGGCCAATCCAACATCTGGATCGGCGGAGCCGAACCTCCGGCAGGCTATTCACTGCTGTTCGGCCTATTCTTATAGATGCCGAACAGCAATGCTAGTTTACTATTGGCTATTGCAAATTGAAATAGCCAATAGTAATCTAGCAATGCATTCCAATGGGCAAAAACGTTTTTGTTTTTTTTTCTATTCTGACACAGCTCCGTGTCAGAATAAAGAAAAAAAAGAAACAGCAGTGTTTCTCTCCTTGGCGGCTGGGAGCAGGAGACTCCCGGAGCACCAGGGAGAGTTTGCTGTTTGGAGATCAGTGTCCCTGGTTAGCAGGTAACCAGGGATGCTGATCTCTCTGCAAGTGGCCGGAGCCAGCTGTAAGATCACGGCTGGCTCCGGCCAGCTGTCAGAAGCAGACTGTCGGCCGGTCGCTCGGCCAGCTTTGTCTTTCAGCGCAGCTCAGCCGAGCTGATGCATATGCGTTCGGCTCGACTGAACCGCTCGGCCACGTTCGGGAGCTGTACGGGCTATTGTGAATAGCCCGTACAGCACCCCTTCGGTTCTACTGAACCGAAGGGGTCCTGGGACCGAAGCTAGCCGAAGGATCGGCCGAAGCTACGGCTAGATCCTTTGGCAGCTTCGTGAATAGACCCCATAGTATTAGAGGACTTTTACTTTTTTATTCATTTATTTTTAATTTTTTTAAATGTTTTACTTATTTATTAATTGTATGATCACGGGTATATGAAGCAATATGGTCAATTGATCCTTTTAGAGACTATTCTTGTCAATGTTGCCTTAGATGTGAATTCCTACTGAAAAAGCCAATTGTCTAATCAGTGTTGTGAAATTGCTGTTAGTCACATGGACTAACTGTCCAAACATAAACATACTAAATAACATATATACATGTATGTAATCACTATTAGGACCTAGACTTTCTTTTCTCATCTCTTTTTTTCTCTGCTTTGTACACAACTAGAAACTCAGGAGAACACAGCTTCAAGGTTAAGACTGCACTGTTTATAACTTGGAGGACAAATAGGGGGAAATACCCAACTAAACTTAAAGGAAAGCAGTTCCAAAAATTCATACACTACACGAAAAGTAAAAACAAGAAAACATTCACATCACTAAACCATAGTCTTTATTTTCCCTGTGAGATTTATCAACAAACTCATTGGCATGCAATACATCACTTTTTAAATAGCTAGATTAACAAAAAAGCAAAACAATGTCCCTCCTGGAAACAGTTAGATGCAAAAACAACTCAAGTTTTACAGAACCTGGATTTTTCTTTTTTTCATTTAAAGTGTTTCTCCTAAGGACGTTTGTTAAAAGATCTATTAGTTCACCTTAACATGATTAAATTAAGTAAATCACATAAAACATTATTTCACATTATTAAACCATATTGTTTACCAGCACAATAATAAACTGACACATCTTTATAATTTTCTCTGTAAAAAGTCAAAAAGATCACAGTAACTGTTTTGAAGACCCACATGGAAATATACTTACAGTGCAGTGTACACTCATTATGAATAAGGAGCAAAAAAACAGGCGGTCATCTTAGTTAACCAGACAATCTGCAAATACTTGACATACAACTCAACAAAACTTACGGGGTTATTCACAAAAGGGTGAAGAGTTTGGAGAAGGCAGGAAAAGTGAACAATCTAGGATAACATAGCTGAACTGGAAAAATCCTCAAATTCAGCTCACTTTCCAGCTCAGCTATGTTGGCCTAGATTGTTCACTTCTCCTGCCCTCTCCAAACTCTTCACCCTTTTGTGAATAACCTTGTTAGTCTACTTCAATATCACCAACAACCAAACTCTATTTACCCAGACCAAATTAATTCACTTCTCACAATCCTTGCCACAGAAAAAGGAACTAGATGTAAACATAAAAATCTAACATTACTTTTCCTTTCTCATTCTCTGATTTGTTGGTCAATGTTATCTGGCAAAAAAATTAATTTATCTGTTGCTGTATACAGATCAGAACATTATTCTGTATTCCCAGTGGTTTCGGTTGTACACTGCAATTTAGACTGACACCTCTGTGGGGCTCTAATTTTCAGAAAATAAACTTCTCACCTCTGATTTCAAGTCTTCTGCTAGGCCTGCTACACTAAAAGGGTAGCACAATCCACAGGTTCATGTGATACACTGCATATTCTCCCCTTTCCTATCTCAGGGACCTCAGACTACTGCCATCATTTAAATTGACTTTTAGTACCACCACCTCAGTTGCCAGCAAAACAACTGTCCCAGACAATATTACTGTCACGGCAAGGTGTCTAAGTGCTCTGACAACAAGCAATCCTCAATCCTCATACTCTAAGAGGCAAATAGTATGATTAGTGAAATACTTAATGAATGATGTAGAAGTTGGCGTGGTTACAAAATCACCCCACATTAGTTTAAATTTGATCAGCCATGACCAGCATTCATACAGGAATTAGCTGTAGAAAGCATAGCTCTAGTAGGATCTCAGATGTTTCAGCCATAAATATAACAATATTAAGTGCATCTCACCCTCTGGGATGGCTAGCTGCCGACCTTGCTCCCCGGGCCTGTTGCTGGATGGGTGGGGACATGGCGGGGAAAAGAGAGGGATGGATGAAAGGGAAAATATATATGGTTGTATGGAAATATTAACGAGAAAGTCAATTTGTATGACAATGTTGTTAAATTATGGATGTCAAAACTTGAATAAAGAATTAATAAACAAAAAAGAATTTGTGTTACCTCACGTAACGTTCTACATGAACTACAAAGTTAAATGTCCTTCATGTTGCTTATTCACACAACTCATTATCTATATATTATATGTATATATGATGTTTCCACTATATAATTGTGCACTATATAAATGCAGACTTACAAATAACGCACATTTTTTAATATGTTCATTAAGTGAAATATTAAGCTAACCAACATAATAGAAGTTTGACAATGTGATTCAGCAGGGGTCATCTGTTTTCCCTATACAGGAGTTATTCCACTTTTCTGTACTTGGACTGATAGCATGGCTGCTTGGTGTACTGGTACTTTTAACCTGTTGCGAGAAGGTTTGAAATTTAAACAATACTGGTTAAAGCTTTTCAGGATTGCGAGCTTCAAAAACACAAAATTGATGTGACCTGTTCTGCAGCAGAGTACACAACATAAATAAAAAATAAAGAATTTTAGTGCTAATTGGGATTAATTTCAAATCACAATTGGGATTAATTTCAAATCACAAAAAGAGAGGTTGAAGTGGGCTTGTATGCCCATACAAATATTTGAAACGCCTGACTAGGCCACTATGATTTTCATTGAAGTTATTATGTCTGACAAGACATAAATAGTTTTATTTTTAGGTCTCTAATGAAAGATATACAGAGATTACAAAAATACTTTCACTTGCCCACACATGGGTGTGAAGTGCACCAGAACATCTTATATGAAAGACATAAATGTGTAGGGAGAACAACAGCACCACCTCATAGATACAGAGTCCAAGTATATTTATTGCATTTATTAATTCATTTGTAGATTCCCTTATCCATACAACACCACACCCATGTAGAAGATTTTAAAAAACACCATCAAAAATGAATAAAAATCATTACTTTATTACATTAATTGAAAAAATTCAATAGAAGTCCAGTAAAGTTGTTAAAATAATGTTTCATTCCCAAGCAAAATTCATAAATTCCATATCATCATCCCTAAATAAGATACCTCCTGGACCTATTACATTTTAAATATGAGAATCACATCTATTAAACTTTATTATAGACGTGTGTAATGGTCCGTTTAGAAGCAGTCTATGCTTCTTCAGAAGGATGATTAACTTAAAGGTTGGGAATATTAGTCAAATTTTAAAATAATCCATCAAAGCAATCGTCCGGACGGAGCAACATTTATGATGGGAGACCATCGTTCAAGGCACCTTATTGGGCAACATTGATGGTACTTTCTTGATGGGTATTCCCCAGATGTCCCCTGTCTTGGTGGTGATCCATTGGTGATGATTGCTTTGATGGATTGTTTTAAAATATGACTAATAGTATTGTGTAATGCCTGAAAAGAAAACCTAACATTACTTTTATAGCTTGCATCTTAAAATAATTGAATTAGCCTCAAATCAGTTACAAATTTTCTGCTTTCTTTAAAGGCTTCCATGGAACAATACTCTATTGAAACCTTTGCCCAAATCTGGTAAACTGACCCCAAGGATCTTGACAATTAGCCGAATACTAAAAGGGTTATTCACAAAAGGGTGAAGGGTTTGGAGAAGGCAGGAGAGGTGAACAATCTAGGACAAAATAGCTGATTTGGAAAAATTCTCCAATTCAGGTCACTTTCTAGTTCAGCTATTTTGTCCTAGATTGTTCACTTCTCCTGCCTTCTCCAAACTCTTCACCCTTTTGTGAATAGCTCTGTAACATGCATGTGAATTCAGGACCTATTTCTTCACATTGATAGAGCTCATCTGAAAATAGCTTCACTTTTTTTCCTGAACCTACTTTTAGCCTTTTAATTTAACTCTCTTTCTTTTTTTTCCAGTGAATTGAAGAATAAGTACAAAATCACAGCTATACCAAAACTGGTGATTGTAAAACAAAATGGAGATGTGATCACAGACAAGGGAAGAAAACAAATACGAGAAAGAGGACTAGCTTGTTTCCGAACATGGCTTGAAGTGGCAGATATCTTTCAGAACTTCACATGCAAATGAGGCATACTGATCTCTTATTTTTCAATAAGAGAACAAACAATACCTAGTCTTATGTTATGTAGCTGAAATAAGAACTTGGTGTGTTGCTTATAGCATCCAGATTAAAATCCATGCTTGAATATGACAGTTAAGTATAAAAGCTTGAGTCAAATTTGGTGCTGTAGAACAATAAAGACCATATTTTAGATGGTTTAGTAAGTGAGGCACATTGTAATTAAGTTCAGATATCAGTGTATGGCCCTTTATACTACCTAATTTTCCTATCTTGAAACTAACAATACTGGATTATTTATGAGTCTGGAATTTATTGCACTATATTGCTTTTTTAACTACTTTATATACTCTGTATTATGTCATGTTGTATTATATTTGAAAATATTTAGAGACCAATATGTGAAAGTGGATTGCAGTGGTAATAGAGTAACTTTTTTGCATGTTTTTTTGTGAGTATATTTTGTTTACTTAGTCTCCGGCCGTGCTGCTAATTCTGATCTAATTTCCCTACCAGAAATTAGCAAAATACACATTAGGATCATGTCAGAAATGTTGTTGATCTCTGAAGAAAACATATGCAAACACAGACCATATTAAACCCTGATTGGGCCACAAAAAGCAGTGCTGTACACCCAATGTTCTAGTGAAAGTGGTAGATATTATTGGCATATTTCACTAGCTAGACATCTAATCTAAAGACAAAATGTATTCTTTAGTTTTAGGGCAGGGAACGGTTAAACACCGACATCTGATTTTAAAACAAGAGGGATGCAGTGGAAATCTTTCCAAAGTGAGGGTAATCTTTTTTTTTTTTAAAGGGGGGGGGACCCCCCCCCCCCCCCCTTAGACAGTTGTCACCAGAGCAAGTGTTACAATTTGATATTTATTAATGTTCTGGTGACAACTCAAAGGCTTGAATTTTAGTTTTCAGTCCTATGACAATGGTCAAATACAGAAAGTGAATCTCCTAGGGTGGACAATAGTAATTAAATTGGTATTCGATGTATAGAACTGTACCCCTTCAAAATATATACCTTTGAAGTGTCAAATCATAAAAGTGCTAAGTGTCTTAAGTTGACAGCATTATCCTCTGAAGTCCAGTTTAATATTTAGAGGGTTATTGTGTATGTTGTAAGTCTATGTAGCTATATATAAAAATGTTTTATTTGTGTGTGTGTGTGTGCAGTTATGTACAACTATGTGAAATAAGACACTTAGCACATTTTGGATTTGACACTTCATAGGTTAAAGTGACACTAAACTCAGGAGTTAGAGTGGACCTTTACCCCCTTCCACTAAAAATCACACCATCATGCAGCTCTGCATGTTGATTTAAAATCAGCTTTAGTTAAACAAACTTGTTTTTCATTTACTTACAAATAGAGTTCATCTACTTCCTGGAATCCCCGCGGGGAGCGGTGACTGACAGTCACTGCTCTCTGCAGGTTGATGATCGGGAAGTGAGCAAGAAACTCACTTCCCGATCAGGGAGCCGACGTGTGACAGTTTCAATGTCACATGTCTGCTCTAACTATCAGGATGAGTGTAAATCACTCACCTCAAAGTTCTCCTTTAAGGAAACATAAACATTAGGAGTTTGTCTGGTTCCCTGTCCTATGCAAAGCTAAAAAAATGTTTTGGCCTTTTGGTTTTTATGTTTACTCTCTTCCTTCCCTCTATACCCCTGAATACCTTTTTTTTTAACCCATTTTAATTATAGGTCTTGGGTTTCTAAACCCGCAGAACATGTAACATATCAGAGAATATGCCTATCAAAGTATTCAACTAGAGGTTCACACCTTTGAAAATGATTATATGATATGTTACTAATTAGCTGTACTCTCTTTCTGATTAATAGATCCAACCTATTGTATTCAAATTATACACATATTGTGAAAGTGTAAGCTTTTTCTAGGAATGTAATAAAAATCTGTTGAAAAGAAAAAAAAGGTGTTTAAACTTTAAAAACACTCGCTAAACGGAAAAGTAAGTGTTACCTGCATAGAAGCTAATATATATTTACCCCTCTTGCTACATGTGATCCATCGAAGAGAAATTGCCACCTGAAGCCTGTTGAAAAAATAACACTTCAAGCAACGTTGATCTGTGTTCTGCGATTCTGTACGCTCAGTGGTTCCTCCTGCTGACCTCCAAGGCACTACAGAACAAAGTAAAGACTTAAATGTCCATGGCTTAGCCACAGGTTCACTTTAAGGAGCAGGCTCAATTATTTAAAGACAGTGAAGTTCACATTGTGGACAGAGAGGACAGCTGGTTCACTAGAGACAAATAAGAGGCCACCTACGTCTTAATTTGAGACCTTTGACATCATCTCTCACCCACATATAATGCCATTTTAACATCTTTACTGCAGACATTTGACAAAAATTCACACCACCCACCAGGTAATTTAAACAGTTAACACCTGTCCCATAATGTATGGCAGCATGGTGATTTGATTATCTAATTAAAACTGTAGTTTCACAAACTTTCACACTACCATCATGTTTTTGGACATTCAATATATGCTGTGACATATTTTATGACGCCTTGGGGATTCGATTAGGGTGACTGAGTTACCAATGTGTTTAGAAATGCCAGGGTACGTTCCTGAGTGAGAAATCCACTTGGAAGTGAAACCTCTTCAACAATAATTGTTAATAGTTAAGGTTATTGAATGCATTTTGTGATTAACTCCTTAGTTTAGCGACACTTTAACACTGGACAGGCACAATTCCTGGTTACATGGTTAGCATTTATTATTTGCATTCAGCATTTTGATATGCACCATTTTCTACCTGCAGTCCGAATTCAAACTGCTAGGGTAATAGGATTCCACTTAATTCAGCCCTAATACATTAAAGTGACGCTCAGGCCCGGATTTCCCACAAGGCCACCGAGGCCCGGCCTCGGGGCGGCTTGCTAAACTCTTAAACTCTTAAAAATGCATTCAAGTATCTTAACTATTAACAAAAATGTATCTTACTTGTGTAATTGTGTATCACTCGGCTGTAGATCCTCAAATCATCTCTGAATTGGTGCTGACACTGTCCTTCTTTCTGGAGGGTGGCTACTTTTGTTTCCCATTGTTTCTGTGTTTGTTGTAACATAGCCACCACTCAAAGCTCGCTCTCATGATGGACTACAATCTTAATACAAATTAGTAAATTAAATGTGAGACTGTAGTCCATCATGGGAATGAGCTTGGCATGGTGGTAGCTTTACAACACACACAGGGACCATGGAGAACAAAAGTAGCCACCCTCCAGAAGGAAGGACAGTGTCAGCACCAATTCAGAGATGATTTAATGATCTACGGCTGAGTGATACACAAATAAGTTACATTTTTGTTAATAGTTAAGGTGCTTGAATGCATTTTTAAGCTTTATCTCCTGAGTTTAGTGTAACTTTAAGATTTAAAGTGAGGTAGAATCATTAGCCCCTTCAGCATATGAAGGGTTTAGTATTCTTTGTAAAATGCCACAGAACAGGTTTTACAGTATATGATATGAGTAAAATAAATAGCCAATTTGGTGTAACATTTTCACATCTACAGTAGTTCGAACCTATTGTTGCCCACCAAACATGAAAGTGCCCATTAAAATATATATGTCTTTAGGATTTTTTAAAATTATTATTTATGAATGTATGAGTTGAAATAACTAATACTAACAGCACCCACCCAAACACCCACATTTTATTTTAATTATTAAAAAAAACAATTACACAAAGAATTTCATGATTTTGTTTCTGAGAATAACCCATGACATGCTGTACATATTCAAGTGCCAGAATGGAAAAAAGAGAATTATTCTGTCTGTACAAGGTTATGTAAGTTAATAACCTAACCAGTACAGTAATTGTCTCTCCTGGGTTTTGCCAACTGTGAGCAATTAAGTTATTTGCATTTTAAACGTTAGACTAAACACAAAACAAAATAATATTCCTGGAGCGAATTGGCAGGGGTAAAAATAATTTGTAAGATCCATTGTCTAATAAGTCTTATTTCTTCCTTTGGGGTGTTTAAGAAAAAAATCAGACCCCAATTTGTTTTAACTCAGATAACCATTTTTATCTCTTAAGACCTACATTTTATTTTACAGATGTTTTACCCACAAGAGGTAGAACAACATAAAATTATAAAAATACCCTTTGACAGGTGTTGTGATTCACCTAATTAGAGCATACTCTTAGCAGTTCAGGAAATGCTTTCTGCTGCTTCCTTCTTTTCCCTTTTGTGCAACCTAATACCTGCTATTAACCACTGTGAGATCATTTTACGCAATTCTATAGCACTAAACAACCCTAAGCAAAACATAAAACCCAGTAATGTATATGCAGTATGATTACTTATTTAACTGTTCATTGCTTGGATGCAGTAACACTCCAGAACGTTTTATCTCTGTGGCAGAAAATGAGACCCATCTCAGAAAGCATTCTGCTTCTTAGTGCTTTAGATCATAAGACTAGCATAACACGTATCCACACCTGTGCGTTATGACAATGTGGCTTAGACACATGGTAACATGCATTACCGCAATTCTATGTGTGGTGCATTGCAAGTCATTCATTGTTAATGGTACCTGAACTAATTTAACAGTGGAGAACAATGCAATGCAGTGCACTACAGGGTCATGTACATATTTAGATCAGTAGTGGTGCATTGGTAGGCAATTTATAAGAACTAGGATAAATGGATCCTTCTTCCGCTTCCTTTGTTGACATGCCCTAACTGTACCTAAACTTGCCAACAGACCAGTAGTGTAAAGTGGGCTTTACTAACAAACCAAAAGTCCTGTTGGGGAAAAGTCAGGTTAAACAGGATAACAAAGGCAATACAAGCTTAACAATACATTCACGGCCAAACACAAATACAAAAACAACGGTCCTATATATGTGGCATAACTATAATGAAAAGGTCCTAACTTGTCCACTGGCCAGTTGGCTCTTAATAGCAGTATTTGTAAAATTCCCTTCACACACCATAGCATTATACCAGACCCAACGGGTGCTGAAACAACTGGTGGATGGCG